ACCTCCACCCTGCCCCTCCCTCGTCCCTCCTCTCAGTCCTGTCCTGATGGCTCCAGCCCTGCTGTTACAGGACCTGGGCAGCCTCAGGCCTCAGCTGTCCAAGGGTCCTGTGAGGTCCCTGCTCACAGCCTGTGGGGTCCATGGCTCAGTAAGGGCAGGGTGTGTGCCCACCCCGCCCTCAAAGCATGGCACAGGACATGGCTTGTCTCCAGCCCACTCACTGTCTGCCTCACCACCCTTGGGGCCAGAGGCAGCTTCTTTTTTTTCTTTTGGTGGAACCAGGGATTGAACTCAGGCCCTTGTGCTTGCCAGGGAAGCGCTTATTCCACTGAGCCATCTCCCTGGCCCCTAAGAGGCAGCTTCTGACCACATGTGCAGAAAGAAGCAAAAGGAAAATGCATTTAAAACAGGGCTGAGGATGCCAGGCACAGTGGTGCACTCCTGGCCTCTCAGCTCTCAGGAGGCTGGGGCAGGAGGAGCCAGGCAAGTTCAAGGCCATCATGGGCCAAGTGAGAGCTAGTATCAAATCTGTTTCCCAAAGCAGAGTTGGGGAACAGAGAGGGAGCAGGGCCCGGGTAAGGTGGGGACAGGGAAGGCAGGGGACCCTTTCTGATGCTGCCTGCACTGCCTCTGCCCTCCTCAGGAATCTGAACCCTAACCTGAGCCATCAGGACAGGAAGCACCAGGACCTGTCCCTGTGGGCCCCGGTGCTGGGTGACAGACAGAACTGCCCGGCCTTCTCCGTCTGCTGTCTGGCAGGCAGGAACCTGCGCTGGAGCTCAAAGTGTCAGTGCAGGGAACTATTCTTGGCCTCCTGGGTCCTGCCTCGGGCGTTCCAGGAGGGCGGCTGTGGGCAAGAACTGTTCCAAGCTTCCAGAGCTGGGGAAGGGGGTGGGGACATCTGGGTTTGGAGAACTGACTCCCCTAGCTTGTGTGACTCGAGCACCCACAGGGGTCTGGCCCTGTGATCGCCAGTGTCACCTGAGCATGTTCTAATAGCCCTGACTTGAGGGAATTTGGTTCAGAGCCGTTGAGCCTCCCACCCAAGGTCACACGGCATGAAATCCCGACCTCCGTCTCTCTAGCGTCTCCTTAAAGCCTAATGTGCACCCAGTTCAACACAGAAAAATCAGGACACTCAAGGCTAAGCACGCAATAATACCCAGGCCTCCCCCTAGAATGGAACTCCCGCTCTTCCCCAGGCACCTGCGAGATTTGACTCCTGCGCTTCCTCCCGGGAGGTGGGGGGCGGGCGGGCCGGTCCTGCTCATCTTTCTTTTCATAGACAGGAAGCTGAGGCTGTCTTTGGACAGCCGTCCCCTTGCTGCCAGGACCCTCAGCAGCCTGAGCCTACAAGGTCCCCGGGAAGCGCTGGCCTCCGCACACCTGTGTCCCCCAGAGTTCCTGTTCACTTCCTGATTCCAGCCCAGGGACCTGGGAGCAGGGCTTGGGTGCCCGCACTTCCAACACACTGTGGAGCGGAAATATAGGATGTGCTCATCGCTCCTGAGTCTCAAGGGCTCAGGTTTGTCCCCAGGGCATGGAGAATGGGCTCCTCTGGTGCTTGCGGGTGGAGGCCTCTTTTGGAGCCCTGTGGGTCACCCCAGCCCCCATTGCCTCCCCAGGCCAGAGGGCTGCAGGGAGCCACCCTTGCCCTCTGCCTTCCTGGCCTCCTCGGGGCTCTGCAGCTCCCGGCCAGCCTCTGGGCCAGGGCCTGGGCAAAGGGGACACGGGATACCTCTGTTCCCCCGCAGCCCTCCTGGAAATTTGCCCTTGCCCAGGAATCCTCGGTTGAAAGCCTGTCCTATGAATTCTCCTTGTGCGTTGAGAGCGATCAGGTTTTACTTATTCATTTATCTTGTCTTCCACCCCCACCCCTTCTTCACTGGCTGAAATTTACAATTCAGCTCTCAGGTGGCCTTGCCTTGCCAAAGGACAGGCGGCCAGGATGCGGGGCGGGTGTGTGTGTGTGTGTGTGTGTGTGTGTGTCTGCACCTGGAATTGAAAGGGGCGGCTGCTCCTTGCCCCTTCTTCCTACTCTTGGACTTGTGCCCCAGTGGGATGGATGCTGCGATGAGTGGTTCTATACCTGTCACAGGAGGGATGCAGACAGCAGGGACGCCCTGGGCCACTGCAGGGCTAAGAGGGCAGAAGGCGGGCTGGCTGCCTCTTTCATGCCCCCTGGTGGCTGGTTAGCCACATGGGCTCTGGTTGAAGAAATTTAAACTACCTGTGCATTTGCTTACCCAAACCTAGAATGCAGGGTGTGGCATCCTCAAAGCTGGAGCAAGAACTCCAAGGGAAAGGAAAAGCCCAGGAAACAGCAAGAGTAATAACACTAATAAGCTACTAGCAGCCCTGCATACTGAGCACCTACTATGTGCCGGCATGCGCCCACGGAGCACCCACTATGTGCCGGCATGCGCCCACGGAGCACCCACTATGTGCCGGCATGCGCCCACGGAGCACCCACTATGTGCCGGCATGCGCCCACGGAGCGCCCACTATGTGCCGGCATGCGCCCACGGAGCGCCCACTATGTGCCGGCATGCGCCCAC